AGAGAGAGAGAGAGAGAGAGAGAGAGAGAGAGAGAGAGTTGTGTGTGTGAATAACAATGAAGCTGAGCTATTTTTTAACCCCTCATTGTTGAGAAATATAATGAAACGATTCAGTATCGAAGCTGTTTTATTAATAAAAGTCATGGGGCAGCGTTGAAAACAAGTTTCTGTGCTTCTGGATGTTTTTGTGTGTGTGTGTGTGTGCGTGAGTGTGTGTGTGTGTGTGTGTGTGTGTGTGTGTAGCGCGATCTCCAATCTCTGTGTGCAGTGTCAATTAAAGCAGTGTGTTAATATAGAACAGTGATTAAACTGAACGGTTTTAATGCACAGTTGGCCCTGTCACACACACATACAGTGAGTGGTGTTCAGTAGGGTCACACTGTAAATCTGTTATTCAAAATCTAATTTAAACATTAAAATAAAGAATATTTCAGGATTTTGCAAAGTTTAAAAAACAATGTATTAAAAAAAAGATATTAATTTAAAAGTGAACCCCTGGGTCTCTAACCCTGAGTGTGGGACTGAATCCTGGCTAGATGAGCACTGCAGCAAACTTTCCAAGACAAACCTTATGTTGTTCAGAGGAGTAATTACCCTCGCCTTACAGAGAAAAATCCACAATCAGTAAGCCAAATTACATCCATACTTTTTCCACAACAGTAAAGCTCTATCCCCCATCTATGTTCATTCCCTCCAAACCCCAAGCCCCCCACCTCTAATTAATGAAGGAGAGCTTGCCATCTGGGAATGACTAACAGTGAGAGAGAGAGAAAGCAAGAGGGGGGTGGGGGGTGGAGACAGAACTCATAACAACAATTAACGATGCCCTGTTCCACAAAAAAAGGACATTCTTTTTCTGACTTCCTGCCATATCACCAGAGGCTTTCATATGGAGTGGTACAACAAAATAAGATCACTAATCAACCAAGACAAACAACACCCACACAACATTTGTGCAACTTTTTGTGTGGAGAAAAATGTTTGTTTCAACACTAATGCTAATGACATTTTAAGGTGTATGAGATTTTCAGCAAATCCAAGTTTTTGGTTGATAGATTCTAGTAGGCCCAAGCCAGAGCTGTAGAGAGAGAGAGTTGTGACAACTCCGTTCACTCCAATGGACCAGTTTTTTTACAGCAATGGCGGATCGTGGCCGCTCAATAGTTCCCGGAAGTTAGCGCTCATACTATCAGCGCCGTAGAGATGCAGCAGAAGAGGCCGCTGTGATGAAC